AAGAAAGACACATATTCATTCTGTAAATGGGGTTTGTCGACAAGATATACATGAGGGCATAATACTGTTCACAGCTTGGATAGTGTTTTATTCATTGAAAATTTTCATGACATTATGCACCAATGTTATAAAAATAGTAAGTTTAAAGAAACTAAAATTAAATAAAATTAATTTTCTTACAAAGAATCATTTTTATCACTTACAATATTGTATCTTCTTGAAATTTGGTAGAAGTACCAAATAGGTAAAAAAAAATATACATGACCTTTTTATTTTCTTTTTTAAAAAATGGTTCTTTTAAATTACATTTTACCTTATGAACTAAGTTCTCCCTCCCATCCCTCCTCCTGTCCCCCTCAATCCTGCCCCACAGCCCACCCCCAGGCCACTATTCCTTGCTGATAAGGGCTACCATGAGGAGTCAACAAGGTCTGGCACAATATGTTGGGTCAGGGACAAGCTCCAATTCCATACATTAAGGCTGAACATGAACATGGTATCCCACCATAGGGAATGGGATCTAACAAGCTAGCTCAGATTTCAGGTTTGTATCATGATTCTACTGCCAGGGGGTCCTAAGATAGCTCAAGATTCACTAGTGTCTTCCAGATATTGAGGACCTAGTTCGATCCCCTGATTTTCAAAATGGCTGTGCTGTGCCTGCTGCCCAAACTGTATCCGAGAATGTGGCGAGGGTGTCGGGATTGATGACACAGAGAACAGTAGGTTGCGTTAAGAAGACTTTATGCTCCCCAAGAAGGCTTAAGAGAACTTCCCAAGAAACGCTTCCCTCCAGAAAAGCTTCTGCCACACACATATGCCTACACATATACACATACATACACATACACACACGCACACACACACACACAGGAGCACCTCCTCCTCCTGGCTGGTGGTTATATCCCTGACACCAGAGTTGGCAGTAGCAGCAGAGGGCAGGAAGAGGTAGCCAGCCATTGGAAAGATCAAAGTCAGGGTGTTTCAGTGAGCCAGCCCCTATCTAGCCCTTATAGGGAACTTATAGCTCCGGTAAATATTTCTTAGGGTACTGGATTATTTTCAGTAAACATGTTTTCAGTAAACAATGTCTCATAGCTGCCTGCTCCCAGGCTGATGGGGAAGTGGGTCTCCAGCCAAGGTCTGTTGTTCCCACATGGCTGTACACGTTTGCACTGCCACCAGCAGTGGAGGAGTGTTCCTCTGACTTCACATACTCTCCACCATTAGTACTCCTCAGTATTTTTTATTTTAGCCATTCTGGCAGGTGTAAGATGGTATACCAGAGACTTTTTTATTCACATTTCCTTAATGATTAAGGATGTTGAGAACTTCCTTAAAAGTCTTTTGGCCATTCGACATTCTTCTAGTGAGATTCCCTGCTTAGTTCTGTAAACCAATTTTCAATTGGGTTATTTTGTATTTTGATGTCTAGTTTTTTGAGTTCTGTATAAATTTTGGAGATCAGCCCTCTGTCAGATATGGGTTTGGTGAAGATCTTTTCCCATTCTGTGGGCTGTCATTTTATCTCATTGACAGTGTCTTATGCTTTACCAAAGCTTTTTAATTTCAGAAAGTCCCACTTATTGATAGCTGCTCTCAGAGTCTGTGATACTAATATTTATGAAGTGGTCTCCTGTGCCAATACATGGAAGGCTATTTCCCAGTTTCTCTTCTATCAGGTTCAATGCAACTGGATATATGTTGAGGTCCTTGATCCACTTGGATTTGAGTTTGGTAAATGACAATAGATACAGAAGTATTTACAATGTTATACATGTTGATATCCAATTTTTCCACCACGATTTGTTACAGATGTTTTCCTTTTTCATTATACCATTTTGTTTTCTTTGTCAAAAATCCAATTTACAAGGTGCCTGAATATAAGGGAGTTTGATAAGATCCCATTGATAAACTTGTCTGTTTTTATACCAATATCCAGCTGTTTGTAATACTCTAGCTCTGTAGTAGAGTTTGAAGTCAGTGATGGTGATACATCAGGAAGTTCCTCAATTATACAGGATTGTGTTAGCTATGCTAGCTTCTTTGTTTTTCCATATGAAGTTGAATATTGTTCTTTCAAGTTCTATGAAGAATTGTGTTGGAATTTTCATGGGCATTGCATTGAATATGTAGATTGCTTTTGGTATGCTTGTCATTTTTATTGTGTTGATCCTACCTATTCAAGAGCATGGGAGATCATTCCATTTTCTGATAACTTCTTCAATTTCTTTCTTTAGGGAGTTAAAGTTGTTGCCATACATGTCTTTCATTCATTTACTCAAAGATATAGGAGGGATACTGTTTGTTTTTTATTTAATCTTGTTTCCTGCCACATTACTGAAGGCTTTTATCAGTAGTAGGAGTTCCTAGGTAGATTTCTTGGGGTCACTTATGTGTACTAGCATCTCATCTGTGAATAGTGATAGTATGACTTCTTTCTTCCCAATTTGTATCTCCTTAATCTTTTTTTGTAGTCTTATTGTTCTAACTATAATTTTGAGTATTATATTACATAGATATGGAGATAGTAGACAGACTTGTCTTGTTCCTGATTTTAGTGGGATCACTTTGAGTTTCTCTCTGTTCATTTGATGTTGGCTTTCTGCTTGCTGTAAATTGTTTTTATTAGGTTTAGATATATTCGTCCTCTACCTCATCTCTCCAGGATGTTTATCATGAAGTAATGTTGAATTTTGTTGAATGCTTTTTCAGCATCTAATGAGATGATCAATGTGTATTTTTTTCTTTCAGTTTGTTTATATTATGGATTATACTGATTAATTTCTGTATGTTGAATCAACCCTACATCTGGGATGAATGCAATTTGGTTATTGTGGATGATTTTTTGATGAGTTCTTTGAATTGGTTTGCAGGATTTTATGGAGCATTTTTGCATTAATGTTCATGAGGAAGATTAATAGTTGGGTCTCTTTTATGTTGGATATTTGTGTGATTTGGTCATCAGAGTTACTGTAGCCTCAGAAAAGGAGTTTGACAATCTTCCTTCTGGTTTTGTTTTGTGGAACAATCTGAGGAGTATTGGAGTTAGTCCTTTGAAATTCTGATATAATTTAGTGCTGAAATCATCTGGTCCTGGGTTTTTTTGTTGTTGTTTTTCTTAGGAGAGTTTTAATGATTGTTTCTATATCCTTTGAAGTTGTAGGTCTACCTAACCTGTTTATCTTTTATTGAACAAATAGTTGTACCCTTTAAAATAGGTTTTTCTCTCTTCACATCTCTTTTGATATGTGTGACTCAGTTTCATTAAGATTGTTTAAAGGAACATGGGTAGAAGTCTGTTAATAGGAATATGTACATACATCTTACCAGTTAGAACACCACTGAATAAGATATTTCTCACTCTAAATCAACCATTATCTGCATATATAAATACTCAAGGAATTGTTGGTTTCTTTAAGTCTCATTACCTTCACAAAGGTATTGATAGGCCCAATATGGAGGAGATATGGTACAGGTAATGACATCTGCTCCAAATTCAAGAGTGCAACAATCAGGTTGTATCCACAAGTCAGTTTTTTCACTGTTCTTCATCTCCACTTGCAAATTTCTGCTCTTATATTGATCCTCTCCCTTCTTAATGAAGTTTATTGAACCATTTGAGAATGGATGGTCAATATTCATTTAGAATCTATATTTTTACCAGTATGAAACCTCTAACCTTGCTGAGCAATATAAAAAGAAATGTCTATGATCAAATCTCACAGCACCAATATGCTATAGATATAAACATATTCTTATAATGCCATTTGATATAAACATCATGAATATTTAGCCAAACAACATCCATACTACTAGTTATGACCTCCCTAGCCTCAAGTGTATTTCCTCCTCTGGAGCAGCATCTAATCCAATAAGAAAGTACTTGTTACAAAAACAAATTTGATGATTACAGCAGTTGGTTCACCTTGCCATGAAGATAATTGCTGTTGTATACTGCATACATGAATAAGTATCACTGGTGATGACAATTCTTTTCCAATATGACACATAGAACTTTGAAGCACTAGCTTCAAGGAGGTAGTTACTAGCTCAGATCCAGCTTAATTTTCTGGTGTTCTGTTACAAAAGTATGTAGTGTCTTTAGGAAGAGGGTATTAACAATGAGTACTGCTAAGCAACCAAGAGTTGACCACTCATATTATTTAGGGCATCCAAGAAATTTCCCTGGTAAAAACTTCACAGGGTGGTATCCCACCTGTAGATTACATTTGATAATCTATAAATTTTTGGAGCAGCTTTATTCACACACACAATGTATTTTGATTATATATATGTATAAAATATATTTATAGTTATATATAAAATATGTGTGCGTGTTTTAGGATTGATACTTTGTAATATTCTGTTTGACAAAGATATTGATCACTTGAAAGTTAATTAAAAGAAATATTATGTCACCTCTCTGCTTCTCTCTGTTTCAAAGACAGATGCATCTCTACATGCAGTGCCAGTCTCACAACTGAGACACAAAGGTGAAGGTCCGAATGAACATATTTGGTTATATAGGGTGCCTGGTGACTAGGGCTGCTGTTGGTCTTGCAAAGTGGAGATTGCTGGCACCAATGACCCTTCATTGACCTTAACTACATGGTCTATATGCTTGAGTATACCTCTACCAATGGCAAGTTCAATGGCACAGTGAAGGCTGAGAGTGGATAACTTGCTATAAATGATAAGGCTACCAGTATCTTCCAGAATTGAGATTCCCTCAACATCAACATCAACTGAGGGACACTGCTGCTGACTATGTCACCGAATCCACTGGTACATTTACCACCATATAGAAAGCTGGGACCTAGGGCCCACTTAAAGGGTGGGAAAAAAGCTATTATCTCTACCCCCATGCTTGTGATGGGTGTTACTCATGAAAAATATGACAACCCACTCAAGATTGTCAGTAATATTTCCTGTGCTGTCAACTGCTTAGCCCCTCAGCGAGGGTCATCCATAGCAGCTTTGGCATTGTAGAAGACCTCATGACCATAGTTCATGTCATCACTGCCTCACATAAAACTGTGAATGGCCCCTCTGGAAAGCTGTGGCATGATGGCCATGGGGCTGCCCAGAATATCATTCATACATCTGTTGGTGCTACCAAAGCTGTGGACAAGGTAATCCCAGAGCTGACAAGGAAGACAACTGGCATACCCTTTCATGCTCCTAACACCAATGCGTCTGTTGTGGATCTGACATGCCACCTGGAGAAAATTTCTGAGTATGATGGCATAAAGAAAGCACTGAACCAGGCATCTGAAGTCCCAGTGAAGGACATCCTGGCCTACACTGAGGACCAGGTTGTCTCCTATGACTTTAACAGTGACATCCACTTATCTATCTAGGATACTGAGCCTGGTATTGCTCTCAGAGGAAATAGATTCACCAGTCAAGGAAAAATTTAAATAAAAAAATTCCTAGCAGAAAACATCCAGGAAATCTGGGGCATCATGAAAAGCCAAATCTAAGAATAATTTCCATAGAGAAAGGAGAAAAATCCAAGCTCAAAATCACAGAAAATACACTCAACAAAATCATAGAAAACTTTCCCAACCTAAAGAAGGACGTGCATATAAATGTACAAAAAGCTTATAGAACACCATATAGGCTGGACATTTTTCCTATGGCTATAATAAAGATTCAAACTTGGAAACACAGACTAAAAAGCTAGTTTTTTCTAACTCATCCCAGAAGCTAAAGGATGCCTGGAAAAATTCCAAGGAAGCAACTCTGAAGTATGAATTAATTCATTATTTAGGACCATAATTTCCTCTGTCTGATGGCAATATTCAAACAAGCCCCACTGTGAATGTACACACTTATGTCTAAATTTACTTAAAGTATTTTGCCTGACAGTAAAAATCAAATAATTTATTATCTAGTCTGATACTTATTTTTACTTAAAACTTCATTGATCCTCAAATCATAATATGTGCTTAATGCATTTAATAATTCACATCACAACTTTCAAATGTGTTATTGATATCATTAATGAGTAAGTAATATAAAGTTCTAAAGAAGTGTTCAATGCAGATATTGCATTGCATTGGTATAATGTCAATAATTTACAATAGGCAGTTTACAACTACATATGTTTTATAGTTGTAATTATCAGTTTTGTTTACATGGTAAAACAAGCAAGATTCACCAGATAGCTTCTAGTCTTGTGTACATTATTTAAAATTGTTGGGTCAAGTTCAATTTTACCCCTTTTTAGATAATGCGTTTGAAGAACAGAGAGTATGATATGGTGATGTGGGTATCCTTGAATGACAGGATTAAAGCTTAGACAGTGTTAATTTTAAAACTGTGGTCTTCATACTTCACCATGGCTATAACATAATGATCTGGTTTCATTTTTACTTTAAAGATTGGAACCATACCAAAAACCTTTGTTTAAAAGACAAAGGACTTGAACATACTGGGACTCTTTCTGATTATATTGAAAATAAATTGATGCTAAAATCCTTCCTCTGGGAAAGATATAACAACATAAAACAAAATACAGTATCAACATAATTCATTTTGAATCATCAATGATTTTTTTTGGTTTATTCACAGAGCATAGCTGAGGTTTTATTCACAAGAGTGTCAGTGTCACTTACCCCCTTCAGAAGACTATACTGGAAAGTCTTTTCCCAGAATTGATGTTTTCCCTTAGCCATAGCAGCATAAATGGGACCCTCTAACCACTGAACATTTCACATTCCAGCCCCTACCCTAGGTTCCAGGCCACCTGAAATTAATTTTGAAATTTAAACAACCAGTTTGGGGGAGGGGGCTAGGTACTAAGGAGAGGGTCCCATGTTTACTCCTTCTGTTAGAGAAGCTCAGCAGACAAGGCCAGGTGAGATGATTTTGTTAGTAGGTACAGTTGAATTCCTATGGTGGCAGCTTGACTAGGAAGATAGTCCTCCACGACATTGATACCCTTGTCTCAACAACAATTTCAGCAATAATGGTATCCAATTTACAGTTGTACTTTCTCTTTTAGATAGATTCATCTATCAAGAAAGACAAGAAAGCTCTTTTAGAAACAGATAAAAATGTACAGGTAATCTATGAAGGACCCCTCCTTAATATTTATTTTATTGTATACTTCATCAGTATAAAATCAAGTTGATTTCTTTACCTCCTATTAAGACTGGATCAATGTGTGTTTTCTCCAGCTATAAATGAGAAAAAATAAATTCTGAGTCAGCTTTTAGAAATATTATCTTGTTTGCCTTATCATGCTGGGACATTTCCAAAAACTGATTATCATATTTTTCTCAGCATTCATTTTAAGTGATGTACAAGACATATAGAAGAAAATTTATATTAAGAGATAAGTGTTTGTTTGTCTCCATCTTTGCTCAATGAAATTCTAACATCCCCACACAGGTCCCAAATGTCTTGTTTACCCATGATAGACCATCTACAAACCATCTACAAAAAGGACTCTGAGAAAATCAATACAGGTTTGAAAAAAATCCCTCATTATGACATGCTGATTAAGTGTGCTAGTGTGTATCATGGGGGACAAGGAATGGACAGTGATTGCTGATATGTTTCATGATGTTTGCATAAGCTATGGATTATATTTCAAAATGTTTAACTACACAATAAAAATTTTGAAATGAGCAAGTATGACCTCTCCAGTTTTCCTTTTTTTATTTCTCTGGTTTTATTTGCTTACTTGGTGCCTTTTGTGGTTCCGTACACATTTTAGAATTCATTCTTTGTATCACTAAAACATGACATTTGGATTTTTGTCAGAGTGTATTGCACTTGTGGCTACACTCTCATTTTTAATGTCAGCATTATCACATAAAGTAAGATAAATTCTCACTCTTATATAAGATTGTTATACATATTTATTAGTAGACTATTTTTATTTTCTTCTGGACTCTCTATATACATATATTCTTTATTCTAGTGACATATTTAATAATACTAATTACATAAAATGACATGCAGGCATACCATGGCTGTTTATATTTAGTTTGTTTATCAAATTACAATTTTAACAGAATGAAGAGATGAAGCAAATGTTCATAAAGTTAGAAAAAAAGCAAAACAGGAAAAACAAATTTAATCTAAAATATTATATTAAGGAATCTAATAAATTTTGAACAACTAACTTCCAATAGTAAACAACTGATATGTTTGCCAAGATCTTTGGGATGTTCAATCTCTCAGGTGGATACCCATTCTGTATAAAAGCAGGAAAAAAGATTGTCTGTGTTAGCTGGAATTATTTCATAGAATAGAAAGCAAAAAATATGAACCAGCCCTGTAGTTACATGTCAGTATCAAATAGATTGGGATTGGTGACAGACACACAAAAACACATTTTTGTCTAGACCATATTCTCTTATTTCTCAAGCTGTGAGGTTGTGGTGGCCCAAATATGATATTTTAATATAGTCCTCAGTTCAATTCCGGGAGATCGAATCTCCTATTGTCTTTAGATGTTGGCTGGTTACCTCCACATGGCCTGGCCACAGTGGAGAATGACTTCTAATTTGCATAAAAGTAGACCTAGGACCCACATCCATCATGAGGGCTAGTGGGACTTGCCTGGGGACCAGTGAGACATACCTGAAGACTCATCAGACATGCATTACATGTATTTGTATTTGTTCATTCTAGGACCTTCTCTAGGGTTAAAGGAAGTGTTTACTAGTCAGCCCTGTATGCATGATAATAGATGTCTTCTGCCAATACCCCTGCTTTTAGAAAGCTAATTAAGAGGATGCTTGGATAAACTGATGTCTCCAGTATGGACTGACAGCCCTCCTGAAATGACAAGATGTCTCTGTCTCATTCTTAACACCATTGGGTAGCTAGGACTTCCCTGATCCACACACCCCCTCTCAAGGTTGGACCTGGGCCAGTTCAGATGGTTCCTAACACAACCTTAAAGACATCAGTCCAGAATAGATGGCTCTTGCAGCTTAGGACTGATACAGGCTGGACCCCAGTATGAAGTACAATCTATATCCTGTGATTTAAGTATATAACTTAAGCACTTAACCCATAGCATCACTTTATTTAGAAAATAGTCTTTAAAAATCAGGTTAAACTGTTTCCTAATTTTGCCCTCATCTATCAGGACTGTAGTCCTTATAACAATGGTTAGCACAGGAATAGCTATCCAAGAATATAGCATTCCTTCCTTATTTTAAAGAGAGATGTTTTCCAGAAAACCAACTATGACAACATCTTTAACCTCCAGCTTATTCAATATAAAATAATGTTGCTGAAGCTACCCAGTCAATGGTATTTTGTCATAGGAAACCCCAGGCACAGGGAAACATATCCATACTCTTCTCCAGTGCAAAATATGTTGGAAAAATGACAGTAGAGAAGCTTCTGGAACATAGAAGGTGTTAAATTTATGAACTACATCAGGTTATTGAAACTGACATACACATACACACATGTTCACATATATACATGTATATGCATATATAAGAATGATTGTATTGCATACATTATGTATATGCAACATGTGTACACAGTACTCATAAAAATGAAAAAAAGGGGATCAAATTCTTTGAAAACTAGAGTTGCAGATGGTTGTCAGCCACCATATGTGTTCTGGGACACAAACTTCTGCCTCTGCAAAAGTAGTAGTTTTTCTTAACTGAAAAACCATCGCTTTTTCTCCACAAACATTTATGAATTCATTGAAATCCTTTCCCTATTATTATTCTAACCATTGCTATCAAAAGAGATAGAGTCATTTGAAGGTGAGTTTTCCACATAAATAGTCAACCTATTGTGGCTATTACTCCTTTACATTGCTTTTAACAGTTTTGGAGAAAAGTTTGTTGATTAAATTAAAATACAAATGTTTAGATACATCAAGTTTGAGATATTAATAAGACATTTGTGTAAAATAAATAGGTAGCTAGAGATTTGAGAAAATAATGAGTATGAAAGAATTAGTACAACTTTTGGACAGGGTAATTATTTATCATTATGTAATAATATAATAACTAGAAAACTTTAATATTCTTATTTTATTCCTCCTTTGGACAATAAGAGGTGAGAATCTACTACAATTCCATTTCTGTCTTGAGAAAATAAAAGCTCTTGACTTTCAATCCACCCATAAAGGCTTCAAAACAGCCTTGAAAGGCAAATGAGTAAAGGAGTAAAATTCTTGTTCAGATCTCAAAAAGAATGTGTTTTTATGGTTGCGAAAATTCACTACATTCAATTCATGACTGCAAAATATCTTTGATGAATGAGAAACACTTTTTCTTCCCAGTATATGTACTCTGTCCCCAAATGTTCACGATAAACTAATATAACTAATAGGGATTGTTCGTAATGTGAATACCAAACAGAATAT